GCCACTACTCAGAAGTGGTTTAAGCTGCTCAGCTCTCCAGAACACACCAGCCCCTGCCTCAGCGGGCAGGACACCCAAATCTGCTGCATCGACACCTTCCAGCCACGCTCCGGCCAGCCATGCCTCCTGCGAGCAGCTCAGCGCAGCCTCGGCAGTCGGGGGCTGCAAACGAGCACGATCTCGGTGCAACACGCTCCGGCTCAGCACAGGAGCTGCACGCCGAGCTGGGGTGGGTGACTGCGGGTGCGTTTTCCTCCTTCAGTGCTTATTCTGATTCACGCCACAGAGAATGACTGATTTCCCAAATTTTAGTGCAATTATGCCTCCTGCGAGCAGCTCAGCGCAGCCTCGGCAGTCGGGGGCTGCAAACGAGCACGATCTCGGTGCAACACGCTCCGGCTCAGCACAGGAGCTGCACGCCGAGCTGGGGTGGGTGACTGCGGGTGCGTTTTCCTCCTTCAGTGCTTATTCTGATTCACGCCACAGAGAATGACTGATTTCCCAAATTTTAGTGCAATTAAGAATGTCACTTCCCCAGCACAACCTTCACGGTACCTATCTGCCAATTACTTTAAATGCCACCCCGTTACATAGCCCCTGTGAGTGAAGTGCCACCGACGTTTAGATCCCCTTCAGCAGACACGGATCATTGGCAACGTTACCGGCCCGTGGCATGCAAAGAAACAGATCCTGGTCCCAGCGTAATGCAGCAAAACCCGTCCAGGCAGGTGCTGTGAGGGACCCCAGCCCCACGCAGCCAGGACCCGATTAGCAAACGGCGCGTGGTTGGCGAGGGAGCCCACACCGCGATCACACCACAGTGATTCACCACAGCCACCCCCGGCCCGCGCCGCCACCCCGGCGGGCTGGGGGAAGGCACGTCCCGGCAGCAGGCACAGAAAATATTTAAGCAAAACACCATCCAGAGGAAGATGGATCTGGCACAACAGAAATTCATGATCTTTTTGGGTTCATTCATTAAGCAAAAAAAATAAAAAGCACCAGGAGCAGTGGATTGAGCAGGGTTAGTCACCGCCGCACCGCCTGGCACAACATCTGCCGTCAGCGGAGCTCACAGCCTCCCCCTCTGCACCGTCCTCCCCCGGGGCGGCCACGAGACCAACCCGCTCCCATCACGGGCTGCCGCCCCCTCCCTATCCACACTTCCCACACCCCACCATGCTCCCCTAATGCTGCTGCGCCCGTTCCTCTAAAAAAAAAAACCAGCAAGCCCTTATCTAAATGCTTGCAAGAGCCGGGCCACCTCTAGCACGCGGTACCAAGCATCTGCTGCCCTGCATGAGGACGAGATGCTCGTCCCCCCCCACTGGCACGAGGACAAGATGCTCGTTCCCCCCCCCACGCCCGGGGTCCTACCTGCAGCTCCTTGTCAGAGTACTTCTGGGGGTTTTTGCTGCCTTGGCTCTTCTTCCGAAGTTTCTTCAGCTCTGCCTGGCACTTATCAAGCGAGTCCCCCTTGCTCCTTTGTTCCGTCTGGTATTTTTTCAGCGCAGCCTGGACGCAACAGGAGAAAACTCTGAGCAGCCAAAGTCAACCCCCTGCCTCGGCCGCAGCTCCTGCTGCCGAGGGTTGGCAGAAGCAAGCAGACCCCCCCCAGACTTTGGGAGAAGGAGGATCCCCATGGCCAGAGAGCAAACAGGGGTGGCAATAATCTGACATCGGGGGAAACGCTGTTCTGTGCGTGGTGATGTCTGTGATGTCCGGGGACCCGTCTGTAACCAGGGGCACGAGCAGTGCCCGGGCACAACTGTCCCCCGAGCCAGGAGCCGGGCGAGGGGGCAGGCAGCAGGAACGGGAGACGCCCGAGCCAACGCTTGTGCTGCTGGACTACACGAGTCCGTAACTCACACTCAGGTACCGGGAGTCCAGCTCCACCTTCTGCTCCAGCTGCGTCAGGAGCTCATTGTGGAAGGACTTGAGCTGCAAGCAGAAAGAAGACACGGTTCCTTGGCGAGGGCTGGCAAAACCTGCCCAGGGAGCGCCCCGGCAGGCAGGGGAAAGGGGCTGTATAGACAGAGCAGAGGCTGACAGCAGGGATGGACAGACAGATGCTCAGAGAGGGACTCAGCAGGGCAGAAGCAGATGCCCAAGCAGACCAGACCCTTTGCAGCTCAGCAAATCCACTTCAGAGGGGCTGGCGTCACCCAGTCAAAACGTGAGAAGCCATTTTGCTCAGCTGCAACACCAGCAGAGCCCGTGGCCAGGCGGGGAGCCCAGCATGCCCGGGCTGGGGCACTCACCATCTCCTCCAGCTGGTTCTGGATCTGCCTGTGGACTTCTGCCATCTGGAAGAGCACGTCTCCTGCGAAGACAAGACGTGGGGAGGGGGCTTGAGGCACCGAACTCAGGGGGACAACCCAGGGCTGGGGCAGGCAGCACCACACTAGCAGGGAGGGGTCTGCAGCCAGACCCATGGGTGCTCCTGGAGTACCCCTGGTGCCCATCTTTGGGGAGCTGTAGGTGCGCAGATATTCATCTGAGACACTTGGACAAACACGCATGTCTTGTGTAGCATGAAGGGAAATGAGGACAAGCAGCAGCGGGACCCCAGCACCCGGGGGCAGCCCTGCCTGCAACCCACCATGCCGTCGGCCGCTATGGCGCGGCTCTGCCCGTGCCAGCCCTTAGCCTGGCCGCAGGGATGTGACAAAGGAGCCAGAGATGACAGGACCAAGAAAGGTCCCTTGACCTGACCCAAAGCACAGATATTGAAGGGAGCAGACGGAGACGAGAGATGCTGCACTAATAACTGAGATGGGAATTTAAACAGCACTGTTACAGCCAGGAGCTTCGCCTGACGCTCTCCCAGCTGCACGTACAGCCCAAAGCCAAGCCCAGAGCGTCCACATCCCTCTCCCCCAGCAGCGGGGCAGTGGATAGACACAGCCCTGGGACTCAGTCCAGGTCACAGGACACGTCGCTGCAAACGGAGCTAAGCCCTAGGTTGATATTTGCCTCAAAACCACTGGACCTGTTCAACCTCAGCGGCTGAGCTGCGCATGGGCAGCCCTGCCCTGGGCAGCGAGGGCAGAGCCGTGGCCTGCGGCTGCTGCAAACGCCACAGGTCAGTCCCAGGAACGGCTGCCCACAGCCGAGGGATCCCAGCTCTGCTTTGTCTCTTCCTTTAATTCTTCTTTTCAAACGCAGAATTCATCAAGTCACACACCCACCGCACTTTTCCTGGGAGGAAGGGCAGTGTCCTGCCTCAGCAAAAGCCCCAACACGGCTGGAGCCAGACACACATGGGAGCTGCAGAGGCGTCTTTTAGGAGAGGAGCCAGTGCTACCGTTTGACTAAAAGCACCATCTCCGGATCAGAGCAAGCTTTCAGGGAGAGCCAAGCTCTGTCAGCTATTTGTAGGGGCTGAGTTAAGAAGCTCTTCCAGCATGGCAGGTCGCAGCTTCCCAGGATGTTTCCAGCCTACGTGGAGCTGTTTGTAAACTGAAAGCCATGATCCATGTCTCCGAGCTACTCCAGTCTCGGCCCCAGCCGGCAGTGGCTGGGGGGGCCCCCCCCCCCCCCCCCCTCCAAAGGGAAGCAGCATCCCACATCCCATCCCAGAAAAAGCAGAGCAGCACCCGAGATAACTCAAAGTCCCAAACGTTTTTATGGGCTGTACGTGCATGGAGTTTTAAATGACAGAACAGCAACCCCAGGGATGGGAAATGCAATGGGAAGGGGACACCAGCGCTGGAGCCCCAGGACAACGTGCGGGAGGAGATGGTGCAATGCTCCCAAGGCTGCTCAAGGTGGAGGTGGCAGCTCCCAGCAGGGATGAACCTACTGGGGATCTGGGGGTGAGCAGCCACAGCCCTAATCCCACCCAACGGTGGGTCCCCCTTCCCTGGCGTGCACGGCCCCCCAGCAGCCAAGAGACACAGAGCCCCGGTTTGCTTCCACATGGAGCTGCTCACTTCTGTCCTGCTCCAGCAAGAGCCCAACCCCAGCAGCAAACGCTGCGGTTTTGGTGTATTTAGAGAGTGAAGGAAAATGCGAGTCCTCTGCAGAGGACAGGTCCATCCTGAGCTCCAAAACAACTGCATCCTCTGTGCATGGAGTCAAACCTCAGCAACAGTGAGGCTGAGATGAGCCAAACAAGCGTCTCACCAGTGCGAGGGAACCATTGGGATCCTCATTCAGCACAAAAACAGATGGCATATGCTGGGCCAGCCCCAGTCCACCGCTCGGTCAGCCTGTCCCTGGCATACTGGGCACACAGGCCACATGCCAGCCAAGTGTCAACACCACCAGCCGATCAGGAACAACCTGGCCCAACGGTTCTTTGCTCTTGTGGCTGAAGCAATTTGTACTTTGCACCATACACCGTGTCTCAAAACCTTCTGCAAACATTAAAATCTGATCCCTTTTTGTCAGTGGCAGGCCCCAGCCCCCTCCACTGCAGGTCAATGCAGTAACAGAACCGGCTGCAGCACCAGGTAGGTGCTCAGCCGGCGCTGACTGGCACCAGGGCCACTGTCCCCCCGTGCCCCTCGCTCAGCTCCTCCAGAAAGCAGTGATGCACAAAGCATCCCACGAAGCGAGGAGGTGACCAGACGGCGCGGCTGCAGTTCCACTCCTTCGCCGGGAGGAAACCGTGTACCGAGATTTCCGCAGCCGCCGAGCCAGCTGTAACTTTTACAGCCGCTTCGCAAGGTGCTGAGCAAAGCGGAGCAGCCCCCGGCACTCACGCTGAGCGGGCAGCCAGCTGCAGCAATTACGCACGTCTGCGGTGAAGAGCTTCACGCATGAACAGGGAGGTCCGGGCAAGGGGTCACCACCAGGAGACCGCCAGGAAATTGCTCTCCGGTTGGGCTGCGACAGCTCAATCATGGGAAGTGCACAAATTCCCACTGCAAGGAGGCAATGACGTAACGCCGTCGCTTGGCTGAGATTGCTTTTTCGAGTGTATCAATGCAAGGGTGGCTCAACTTATTATTTCCAAAGCTCGCACCACCCCCTCTCCCTTTCGCTTCCCGTTTGGTGGAGTGGAAACCCTGGCTGAGAAAGCTGGTGCAGGGCTGGTCGAGGGCTTTCTGGCCACCACTGCCCAGCTCCCAACCCACCCAGAGAAGAGGGATCAGGGCGCTCAGAAATAACACACATATGCCCGAATCCAGCACTGGGTACACCCAGCCCCCTGCACCGGGACAACAGGGCTCTGCCCACACCGCATTCCTCACCTAGAGTATTAACTTGTTCCCAGCAGCCGAGGAGGTGTGTGATGTGTCTCTCAACAGATAAGCATCTTTTTGTTCAGACTTTCTCCTCCACCACCACCCCCTTGGCTCTTATCACAGTGATACCTCGGTGCGTTGCAGCCTCACATCAAAGCGAGCAGCGGTGCGTGCAGAGCCTTTCCCACCCAGCACAGCGTCCCCGCTGCAAGCTGCTCCGCGTCCCAGCCCCAGCAAGGGGATGCTGCCGTCCCCACCATGCCCGCCACGCAGCGCGCTCCCCTGCCACAGCTGGTTTGCTGCGCCTTTCCCGGCAGCGCGGTGCAGCCAGCCCAGCACCAAAAGCGGCTCAAGGTGAGCGCTGCGCTGCAGCCAGCGTGGCGCAGGAAGGCGGCTGGATGCCTGCCCGGCGCTGGGCTGCACGGAGGCATGAGAGCTTCCTCTGGAGCCTCTCCTCGGCCTGAGACAGCCCAACCGGCTCCGAAGGAATCGGCTCCAGGCGTCCCGTGGCCTCTGCCATCGCTGGAAGCCCACGCAGGGCAGCAGCAGGATTTGAACTAAATCCCCTAAATGGTAGCTGCAGCGCTGTGTGAATTCACATACAGCATCTCTGACGCCCCGATACCTCCACACCACGAGCTGCTTCACCACTGCAAAAAAGCTACGGACCTTGTTAGACATTTACAGACATTTCACCCTGAAACCGCTCAGACTAACCCAGCGTGGCAGCAGGGAAGAAGTTAAACTGTGACTAAGAGATACCACGGTAGTTGGAAAGCCTAAGTATTTCAAACCCTGGCTCAGAAAAGGATCCGTGGCATTGAGCTGATGGTAGATACTGCAGGCGTTAGCAGAGCTCGGCAGCAGGGCTGGAACACCAACACCACGCCCCGCACCGGCACCGGCCCCGGCACAGCACAGCCACCCACGCCACGGGCGTTTTGCATCACCTACCAGTGGTATTTGGAAGTTAAACACGGTAATTACCGCTGTGCAGCAGGGCAGAGAACAGGGCAAGAGCTTGGGTCGCAGTATAAGTTGTATACAGAGTGCGAGCACCATACTAGCCGTGCTGCCAAAATGCACGTTCTATAGGTCAAGAAACCCAAGGTTAAGTGCCTCACCTAAGCCCAGAGGCAAAAATAAAGACAGGGAAGGGTAGGACTGCAGAGCAAGGGTTTCACCTGCCCGTGCCGGGCTCACACACCTTTCCACAGGCTGCGAAGCACAAACAGGCAAGGAGGAGTTGCTATTTACGTCTGTCTGACTCACAGTATAGTTCTGGGAGAACTATAGGGGCTATTGTGGGCCCTTCCCTACCACACCCAGCCAGGAACAGGCAAACAGGTTGTTCCACATCCCTCCCATTGCTATCGGCACCGCAAGTCCCGCGCAGGAGCCAGCTGCCCCTCCAGAAGGCAGAGCAGTAGGAACCCATCTCACAGGGTTTTGCTTTTGAGTTTTCAGAGGATTCTAAGAATTATTTCCCCCCCCTCTCGAGCTAGATATGAGCCATTTTTAATAAAAATACCAAACAATGCATTGGCAAAGGAGCCAAACTGCTCCGAGCCAGAACATGTTGATGCTTGTGCAAGGCTGAAGCAGCCCAGCCTGTCCTGCAAGGGCAGTGGGAGCCTGGCTTTGCCAGGGAACCGGTCCCATGGCCGCTGGCCACCGGGTCCCACTGCCACAGGCATCAGCCCAGCAGCAGGGATGCTTTGACAAGCAAACAGCACTGCATCCTCCCCAGCATCACTCCTTGCTCCTGTAACACGGAGGTTGCAGCGCTGTTGGCATCGCTCTCCATCAAGATCACTTGCTCTGGAGATTCAGATCCCAAATAAAGAGCATGAAAGGATGAAACAAGGAGTCCAGGGGCTCAGCTCCTCTGCTATTTGACACTGTGCTGAGTTTCTCCCTGTTGCTTTTTGTTAAGGAAGACCAGGAAAGGTGTCAGTGCCGTCAGGGGAGTAGCCAAGCTGGCAGAAAAGGAATATTAGCTCATTAATGAGAAAAAAGCCACAGTTACAGGGCAAATCGTTTGAGCTCCTGAAGCCTAAGAGGAAAAAAAATAATCTGCTTTTCAATGGCTGGTTAAATGCTGTTAGCTGAATCCTTTGATGCCAAG